ATCTGACGTTAATAGCACATTATGAACTAAGATGAAGAAAAGTGTCTGATTGTTTCTCTATATAAGTATCTGGTACTTGATTGCTTGAAATAAAATTTGGCCATTTTAGTTATAGTTAGTTTAGTTTCCACTATCACCACGCAGGTGTTATTTCTTTATTGTTCTAGCACTTATTTTTTTTTTCATTTCTTTTTCAGATCTGCAAGACACACATTTCTCAATTTATGGAAAGCTTGCTCAGTTGATGAAATTAAAAGTTCCTTTGCATAATTCTGATATTATTGTGAGTGAGAAATGTAAAAAATGTACAAAGTATATTAAATTAAATAATAGTTTCATGTTGACCAACTGGAAAATACACCTTTCAATCATAATAATGTGAAATTGATCGTGCTAATTGTATTTTAGATATCATCAGTCACTGAGAATGATAGAGATCTTTTTTTCTCTGTTGTCAATAAGTTATGAATAATGTAACATGTACATATTTTTTAGTGAAGAATCATTGCTTCATTGAACGAGCAGGATGTTTGTGAAAAGATTTACAAATTTTTGAAGAATTGGACTGTTAATCAGTATTGAATATTAATCATTTGTGTATTGCAAAAACTATAAATTCATAAATAAAATATTGGAAAATATTTAATGATTTGTTAAAAAAGTGTTAACATTTCTCCTTCATCGATGCATGTTATAGGCATCATTAAAGATGACAACATTTTCATGATGATATGCAAATAATATTGTTCTTTCTTGTTTATTGGACCCCAGTATTTAAAATCTGGGGCCATGCTATTAGCTATTGGCTTCTTTGTCTAGTAAAGTATGTAATGTAGATGAAAACAATAAGAAGTGACGGTAAGTGCTGACAGATGAATGATTGGGGAAAAAAAGAAGAAAAATAAATTGCTGATATTCACCCTGTAAGATTTGAAAGTAGTAAATAAATTTTATTATCTTATTGATAAGGTTAAAGATATTTCTTGTTCGCCAATAACATGCTGCTTCTAATGCCTCTCTTTATCAATTGCAAGTAATAAAAATTTTAAAATATTCTCTTCTGAATGCTTCTAATTAAGTAAACTACACTTTCATTAGACACTGGGCCATACTGATTAGGTAGTGGGCGCAAAGTATGAAACAATGTGAAATTTGAAGGGTTGTTCATTCTGAAGCAATCATGTTATAGTTTCATTGTAAGTGTTTCACTAGAACTTTCTCTACTACCTACTCAACATGCAATTTAAGATTAATTTGCATATATGAAACAAGCTTCTGTTTTCTTGCAATTATCTAATTTAAATTCTTAACTGAAATCAAACTACTACACACTTCTATTCAGACTGATTGAAATCTAACTCTTGATGATACACATGTCTCAATGGTCTTGTTACGCAAATGTCATATGGTAGATTTTTGTTAAATAATAAACATATTAGTTATTATATTGTATATTATTTATGTACTGTAGATATTATACTTTACAATTTTTTTTAATCACCAAATTCAAGCATAAATGAATATTTAAATAGATTCTGCCAAATGAAGTTAAACAAAAAAGTCTATGAATAGGGGAGTTTGAATATAAATGTGAATCATTTTAAATATTAATTTTTTACTTTTGATTGGTGTTTTTTTAGATTCCTGTGCTTTTACCCCTACCCTACTTTAGCCAGGATAAATGTCTTTTTTTGCATTCCTATTTTAGTAAGGGTGCCTGATATATACTCTCTGGGTGGCGACCGCGGCGGTGTATATATGACTGCGAGAAGGAGGGAGGAACTAGGCACCGCGATGCAGCCATTGACCATTGACGAATTTGAGGGGGGAGGGGGACACCAATGGCTTTTTTAAAAAAACTTTTTAGCACGTCATTGGTTCGAAAGCATCCCATCACTGCCCTCCGAAGTCGATGCTGATCTATCAGAGACTGGGACGCGCGCGGAAGGAGAGAATTCCTAGCTTTCGTTATTCGAGGGCCGCTAAGGCAGATAGAGTGAGATGTGATCGAGATCGAGTCGGTGATAGATCGAGTTTGAGACTCACTAGGAGGGCACCTCGATTGCAGATTAATGACCGAAGTACTTCGAGTTCGGATATTTACGTGAAAGCTCAATGACAAATTCACTTGAACTTCGGAAATGATCTCTGCATCGAATGATCCTCGAGGAAGGCATTATTTCCTGCGTTTGAGAGCTTTTAAATAATCACTTCGTTCGTGAATGCCTTAGCCATCCTTACGCGAGTCGCAGCAGGCTTTGATCGCTTCATTGCCTTCGCCGGTGATGTGTCCGAGACTCCGTCGCCACCGAGGACGGCTCATCGCGACAAGAGGGTGCCTGGGTGCATGCGGTAGGCCGTCAGCGGGAGGACCAAGTTGCCGCCTGAAACGCGGGGGAGCCGACCGCGCCGCCGGAGAGAATCTAAATCGACAGCCACCCTCGCTCGACAAAACTAGCTGCGGCGCAGTGTATGGCCGCCCAGATATTGCAGGCCGTGCCGCCTATTCAACAAAGCAGTAAGGACATAATCCAAGTGTTTTAGTTGGTGTCACCACCCGCCCTTTTTCCCCGCCAAGAACGCTCTGCCTGCATTCCCGCTTTCGCCCGGAGAGGACAGCTCTGAGATCCACGCAGCATGCCGCAGCACCCTGGTACCTGTGATTCAGCAATTGCCCCCGTTATCCCATTTAAGTGTGGTGCATAGCTCGACTAATGAGCCTTTCCGGACAAATTATATCAATTAATTGACGTTCATGTATTCTGCACCGTCAGTCATTTGTATCTCATTTTGTATATTTATTGTATTTCATCTTGTTTCATTCACATTTCATCTCCTCATTTCACCTAGCATAACATTTAGTATAAAATCGTATGTGCAATGAAATTCTTTGTAATTTTCTCATTCTCCGTCTCCCTTCTTAGAGTCCCTTCCCAATCGCAGCGGCGGTGCGTTTCCGAGCAGCGCAGCTCGTAGGGAGCATTGGTTTGAATGGGGACCTCCACGTGCAGCGGGCGGGCGCTGCTGCGCTAAGCGCCGCCGGACTCACGCCACGCCGAAGCGGAGAGGGGCCACCGCTAGCAGAATACAGCTTTAAATGGTATTGTGACGTAGTGAAATAAGAAATAAATTTCAATAACAAAAGAAAAATAATATATTAGAGATTATGTACAAGTTACAATGAATTGCTAATATTAAAACACTCCGGCAACCTTTTCCTTTCAGAACACTGCTTTACCGCAGAAAACACAAGCCACGCGTGATGCGCGCTGTCGGACCTCGGTCCCGTGACATTACCGTCACATGGCCTGACGCCAAAATTTAAACCCGGTCGTGGCGACCGTGTGCCTACAGCACGCGAGATTGACTGGCCTTACTTCTCGGACATCTCGCCCACACTCTACACCCCTTGTACACACGTACAACTTCCCGATGCAAACTGAATGAGAACGCGGGCGAGATGGCGCCCGCGTTAAATAGTTGAGGCTGACACCCCCACCACTGTTCCATAGGTAGGCTCGCAGGCCAGCCTTGGTTTACGCCCACACACAGAATTCTCAGGTTGGCTGCCTGCTTCCGTAAACGAGGCTCGCCCGGCAGCATCCTCGGAGTTTACAGCCTCCGGTATTTTTGGCTCTGCGGCACTATCTGAGTCAACCGCCCGAGGCGCAAACTCCCGGATGTTCAGGCTCAACCCCTTCCTCCCCCGCAGCGTACTTTCACCAACCTAACGTGTTCTGGCCCTCGTGTTAAACGACGGCCACAGTATTCTTCCCACTGTGCCGCGGTCCCTTTGTTGGTCGTCGCCGGAGGGTCGCGCGAAACGTACCCCTGCAGAAACCCACCCCCTTCCACGGCGGGCGGCCTCGGAGGGCCTGCTGCTTGAAAGAAGCGCGGCGACGTGGGAAGGCGCCCTTAACCACCACCATCCCTCTTCCCCCCCGCCCCCGGCGCCTCACTGCCCGGTACGGTGTATACAATACTTAGTCCGCTAGTGCACCCCATCCGTTCTAGGATTCTCCCCCCTTCTCTGTACAACATTCATCATCATAATCGTTCTTTAAATGTGTTATAAGGGTATATCTGATTGATGGCCTTAAAACCCCACATTCAGAACATCCTGGCAGGTTATTCTATCAATGTTTAATATTTATTTGAAATTGCTACATTGAAAATATTGCTCATTATAGATGAGTTACCTTACCACATGTAATGTAAAATATTATTTCAGCAGATTCCAACTCAAGTTTCTTTTTAAATAATTTAGCCTTCATCATTTTTAGTACTTGTACAGCTCATCTTAAACTACATCCCAATCTGGTACTTTCAGATTGTTGGTGAGAAGTGTCATAATTATTTGAAATCCTTCATTCTTCAAAGTGCTTTCCTAGTAGATTATCAACATTGTTATTGTTGTTGTTATTATTATTATGTTATTTAAGGTCATATCAACTTCTAGGTCATTAGCGACCACTATTGCTTGTAACGGTATGGTAACTGTAAGGATGATACAATATGAATATGATATGATAGGGAGTGAATGGATGAACACAATACAACATATAACCATGCCCGAGGCGGGACTCGAACCCACGATCCTTCAGTCAGAGATCGCTACAGCACTACTGCCTTAGCGATCTTGGCCACCAGATCGGCATTGTCAACATTATTCAGTTTTGTTCAGGAGTGTTTTAAAAAATAAAACAGAAGGAAACTGATTTCATTGACGTAGGTGTTGGTGTGAAGCACACATGTATTTGTTTCTCATATCAATGCTGATGTTGAGTCGCATGCCCTCTCATTTTACTCTTATAGAATTAGGTGACTGCATCTCTACATGGATTATTTTCTGAAGAGGCAGATAGTATCCCTATGGGCATCCACCTGAATCATTCACTATCTCTTCTATAAATTGATACATAATCTAACTCATTAAAAGAATATGAATATTATTACCTATTAAGTTTACTGTAATTTTGGCAGTAACTTTGGTACATAACAAAAGTTAAACATGTAAAATTTCTTGAATTTTGAGTTAAGTGAAGAAATATCCTTAGAAAATAGCCAAAACAATTAAAAATGACTTGTATATTCACAAAACAGCCAGTTTATGTATGGTTGAATACTTGTCTCTAGCTGCAAAATATGTGCCGAATAAAACACTTCTCCTGCAAAATGACATGTTTTGACTTTCAGATGTGTCACTTTCTTTGTACACCAATAATACATTACTCCAACATCTTCCTATCTCCATAAGAGCATTTTAAAATTAATATTGAGCTATGCACCCCTAAAAACTGAAAAGAAGACTCAAAACTAGTTATTTTTATATTAAGTGTGTGAAATAATTGTCATTTGTCATTTTCAATCAATATTGAAGAGCTTTTTGGTCAAGATTGTTGGGTTGAGATTAAAAAGTCTGAGCTGGTCACAATAGTTCCCTCCCAAAAAATGTTTTCTCTACACTGTAAATCATGATTTAGCTATCCAGATGAAAGCATTTTTATGTTTCAACTGTATTATAGTTTCTTGGAATCATTCTTCACATTCATTGATGAAGGTGACAACAAATGTAAAGGAATATGTAGAGATGCACATGTAAAGGACTGGAGATAATTAATAGTGATGTTTGGCGAGGATAGGCAGTAAGGATGAGTAACAAGGGCAGTAAGGTTGAGCCAAAAATATTACATTGTGACATCAACGTGTGTGTTGTTTTGTTTTTTTTGCAGCATGTTCTGGTCTCCAAATTATTTAGTAGAACACTAACTTCACACAAGCAGAGTATTCATCATGATCATATAAAAACAAATTTTCAGTTTGTTGATTCATGATAATTAAAAATACAGGAAATGCAAGTAAGGTAGGCATAAATAATTACATTGATATTAAAGTAATATTATATTTGTTTTTTAGCTTTATCAGCATCAGTCTTTATACAAGAAATACTTACAATTAATATGAAGTCTCTTGAACACAACACAGAAACAGAACTATGTCTGTCCCAGAATCGTCCAATTGTTTTATTTACTTGCTTGCTTGTAATTAACAAGTAGTGATTGTAACTCCTTATTCCCAAGTTTTGAAATCCTCAGTTTCATTCGTTTTGCCAAGTCTGTTTCATTATGTAAATTAATAAATGTAGCAACATGATGCATTGCAGTCAAATATAAAACAGGACACCATATTTCCCGAACAGTTCCCGTTGCAAGGCAATGCAAATAGGTCAGTAGAAGTGACTCATCCACTTCACAAGGCTCTAACATTTCATTCACAGGAAACAGGAGTTGTTGTACTGGTGTGCTAAGGATTCTCAGAACAGCAGCATGTTCACTCCACACTTGTTTACGAAGATCTGTACTATGTCGCTGTTGTAGGGGAACAAGCAGGAAGTGACCAAATAAATTGTCTCCATATGAAACAGCTGCAAACTGCTCCAGTAACTGAGTGTACATTTCGTAGAATGATGAAGGAAATTTTATCTTCTGGTAATCTTGCATCAGTCTTCTAAAGCAAGCAAAGAGTAATTCATGAATAATGGGATCCAAAAAGAGATCACTTCCACAAAGAAACACTGTTGATAAACGACAATATTTGTCAGTTACATTCAATGTAACAGTAATATCTGGCCGCAACTCTTCCACTAAAAACACCCATTTGAGTGCAGTTGTAACTGCTGCTACTGCTGCTGCTGAGGAGGAGGAGGAGTCAGAATATAATTTTTGTTCAGTTCCTTTGTTATTGTTAAGATGGATTATAGGTAAATATGACCAATCAGCTGGTAAAAAGAGTTCTGAACCCTGCTTGGTGGCAGTAAGGTTATTTGTAGCCATATGATTACTGAGTGTTAGATCTTCACCAAGATTCAGATATTCTTTATAACAATTCCACAGTGCTGGTAATTCTTGACAAGTCATCAAAATAAGATGTTCCTTTGGTACAACTTTTGATTGAGATGAATCAATTTGTAGAGCTGCCATCTTCTCACTAATTGCACAAGAATTTTGAAAGTAATCAGCATTGAAAACAATCTGACTCATTACATCATGCAGAAGATATTTTTCATCTCTCTGAATTAGAGTGACTAATTTAAATGCCATTAGATGAATCAAGTTCAAATGAAAACTCTTAAGATAAGTTATTTTTAGAAAAGAAGTTAACAGGTCAACTTCCAAACGTGCAAACCAATGTGAAGCTAGCTTAGGCGATGCTTTTTCATTAATGCATTTTATATAATCAATAAATGCTGAATCTTCCATTAATGCTGATACATACTTCGAGTTTAATCCTTTATGTTTAGTGTAAGCAACTACTAGGAAATTTAATAGACCACCCAACAAAGCAATTGGTGATTTAGGCTGCAACACTGGAGTCAAACTTTCACCCTTCCACAAAAGAGCTCCAAGAGAGGGCAAAGAAGCTGGGCTACGCTTTGATCCAACCTCTCCTGTGTATAGGAGACAAGAGCTGTTTTGTAGACTGGCAGTTGCTTTCTTAAATCCTTCACTTTTCAAATATTGCAATACTTTCAATTCACAAAAGCTTTCTAGGTTGCTAAGCCAAGACACAATGTCAGAATCTGCCTGAACTAAGTGGAAACTATACAGTGAAGCAAGGCAATTGAAAGTTGCTCCTACCAATTTCATAGCTGAGAATGTTACATCTGTTGCATTTCCAAGCTGACTAAGCCACTTTGACAAGCACACTTCCAATGTTCCAGCAAAATCTTTAACATGGCAATAAGACAAAGTTCTTGATGAATGATGATTATTTTCAAATTGTGACTGAGAGGTATGAACAGCTTGCTCAATAAGAGAGATCAGGGCTGTTCCATGTTCATAGCTAAAAGAAGAACTGGAATTCTCCATAGAGGTTGTGTTGTAATGAAATTGCAAAAGTCTCATGAGAAGAGGGTACACATCTATAAAATAATGCGTGGCCAAGTTATAAGCCAAAAAGGTTTGCCAAATATAAAAACTTTCCAAGATAAGATTAAGCACTTCTCTGAATGGCATCGGACATTCCTTTGGATCTATACTTATGTAGCTGATTACAGACTCCATTATACTGTATTTATGAACAAGATCTGAAGCTAGTTTGAGAGAGTGACAAGCAATAATCCTCAATAATTTGAGTGCCTCAGCTAAGGGAGTGTTATAAACAGATTGCATATCTAATGGTCTTACATCATCCACCATTGTGCTCCAATTTTTAGGGATGAAATTTGTTACTATTACTTTCATTAGACGAGGACAGCACGTAATTGCTAAGGCACTTTCATATGAATGTCGGACAATCCTTGTAAGGATTTCTAAGCACAATATAGTAGCCTTTGGTCCAGGTTTTAGTACTTCCAAAATGTACCTTATTCTAAGAATAATATCTGTACGTAGAGCACCTTTAATAACATCAATTTTAAGCATTTTATAATCCTTGAGTTCATCCTCAGACTCCTTCAGTTCCTGTTCATCTGACAAAGTGTTCATTACAAAGAGACAAGGCTGCCAAATGCTTTTCCTGCAACCCATTGCTCTATCCAGACATAATTCATCAACATCAGAACAAAGCAAATTCTTGAGAGCAAATAACGATGCTACTAACTGAATTTCAGTATTTTCATCAATTGCAAATCGCAATAGAAGGAAAAGATCATGATCAAGGAATTTAGATAATAAATTATCATTGAAACATACATCATAGAATCCTTTTTTGATTTTTTCTAGAATATTTCCAATGGTACTTAGTGCTATAATTCTTTGTTGTAAAACAGTACTTCTTGATAGCTGGTACAATTCTTCTATGGAATATCCTGGTCTTTGCTGCTCCATTCCATGGTGATAAAGGCCCTGACGAACATCAATTTCTTTTAAAGTATATGGCATTAACAAACCTTGAAAGTCAAACCTAGCATTATACTGATGGTCAGCATTAACTGGTTCAGCAGGAGCAATGTCACCAACCCATTGCAATTTTTCTTCTTCTACAACATTCATATGCAACCATTTATTTTCACTATCACATAGAACATTAATGAATTCAGCAGAGGTCTGATCTGTACCCTCAACTTCAAAACATGGATTATCACACATATTATTTTTAATTTCTTCACTTTCCATATCACAATTATCATTATTTTCATATTTTTTGCGTCGTGATAACAGAAATTGCAAAAGCTTTGGATCAAGAGTTTCTTTCAGTTTCTTCTGCTCAGCACAAATTTCCTCCATAGACATTTCACTTAATTTCTTCACATTCTCTTGGTGGATTTCCATAGAATCATTTCCAGACAAAATATAACTTTTACTCCCTATTGTTTTCACAACTTCATTCTCAGTTCCAGCACAATCTGAAGGTTTTAAACTATTTTCATGGTTTAGTGGATTTAAGACATTTACATGCTGTGAGAAGATACTCGTGCCTAAACCAGTAACAGTTTCATTTCTTGCAAAAACTTCAGGAAATCCCTCTTTGGAACTTGAGCAAGAAAATGACCAGTTGTTGCATTGTGGCAATTTTTCCTTTACTTCACTTAAAACTGATTGCACAACTGTATGCACAGGCATCTTTTTCTTGTGTCTTGCCTTGGCAAATTCTGATACGTTTGGTTGATCACATTTACGTTTATTAACAACACGGACGGAAGGCGTAACGCGTTTCTTGAAATATTCCTCCTGCTGTCTGAGTAAATCCTCTTCATCATCACCAGGTTTAGGGCGCTCAATCGCACTCATAATGACAATTTTTAAAGTTTAATTCCACTGAGATCTCTTCCAACGAAATTCAACCGGGAGTCACAATTTGGGGCTTCAGCTGTGGTAGACGATTGATCATGATTTGACGAAGTAATCTTCACAACATTCGGTAGAAGTAGACGGAAACCTATGGAGCCGAACGGTACAGCGTTCAGACAGTTTTCTGTAAAATGTATTTATAATTCCCTCTGGTACTCCTTACTCCTGTTCTAGGTCACCGCTATTCACTGTTAGGTTACTACTACTAGTAATTTATTCATTGTACTCGTATTCCTTCAGGTTCAGCACAGGTAGACAGCACGGACCGCAACACAGCACATCGACAAGGATCCAAGCCAACAATTGACAGGTGACTCTGTCGTTAATCAGATGCAATCAGTTGGCAACAGTGTATGGGTTTTGGCAATGCTGAACTACGATTCTCTTCTGTTGCGTCGAGGACAGGGCGGTAAATGGTTGCCGTTGGGAAATACAGCGAGGAAACTACGAATATTTGTCCTTGCGTTTTCTCCTCTGTCATGAATAATTACCCCAAAAACTTTTGCTTCAAATATTTATTGTGATATAAACTAATGATTCTCTTACATAATTGTATCGTTATGTTGTTGAACGTCAAATATTGTGAGATTGAGCTGTGCAAGGTTATGTACCCCGAATATGTTACTTGAAACGTCATATTTGAAGTTTTATAGTACATGTGGTGGAAGCAAAAAAATGCGTAATAGATCGGCCATCCACTTGTGTTTAATTGTTGGCTTAGTATTATTAGTTGTGCAATTAAGTCTTCTCGCAATTTTATTGTATCCTTTTGCGAGTGATGATGTTTTTCCAATAGATGATATAGCTGCAATTGTCAATATTTCAACGAAATTACATTCATCATTATTGGTTGTGGATGAAAATATTCTTCATAATTATGTTAGCAACAAACAGAAAGTGAAATATTGTCTTTTCTGTGGTGTATCATATCCTGTTACTTTTGCCATATTTTTCCAAGGGGTGAAACATAGTGTAAGTATAATATTTAACTTAATTTCTTAGACTGTCTTTATTTAATTTACCTTTAGGAGGATGATTCAGAATTTATGAAGGACAGTTGGTGTTTTTTCTTTACAGATTTATTATAGATTTATATTAATAAATCTGTAAAGAAAAATAACTGATATTATAGATTGATATTAATAAATCTGTAAAGAAAAATAAGTGATTGTCTTTAATAAAGCCTGGACCATCCTCGTAAATGATAAGTATAATATTTGCAACGATTTGAATATGTATTGTGAATATACACACACATATGTAGATACATTAGAATAAATATTTATAAAGATTTTTTTGCAAGAAAAATCAAGGTGGGTGTGAGCTTGTATCCAATTTCATAGAGTAATTATACCACATTAGTATAATTGGTAAAATATTTTTTAAGTTATGTTATATCATCATTAGAGCACAATGTTTGTGATTTCAGGAAAACTTACACTCCATGTTTCGTAGTGCTGGATTCCAGACAGCTTTGTTACTTAATATCAGACCTCTTGAAGCTTCGCCCTCTCTACCTGTGAATGTTCCATTATGTCTCGTATTAAAAAGAAAAGTTATTATTCACATTGTTATATTTCATGAAAGAGAGGGCAATTTTTGGTGGCATGGATCATTACTAAGCGACCCATCTGCAGACAATGTACTTATGTCAATGGGCATATCAACTGCCAAAAGTCAGTTAATGAAACAAGAAGGTGCTTTTGAAAAATTTGAGG